GCCTTTCGTCATCGTTGATATCGCATTTGAGGTATTTGGGGAGGGGGAGCTTGCTGGCAGTGCTTTGATGTTGGAAAATGTTTTCTGTAGGAGACTGATTATGACCTTCCTGGTCTAGGAACTATTTGATCTACGCAACCAATATATTTATTTATTTATATCAAATGGAAGGCGTCTTGATGGTTATAATTAGCCCTTTAGTTGACTTTAGACTTCACAAAGGAGAAGAAGCATCAAATTGAAAAAGTCGAGAGGGGGGAACAGAAGAGTGTTTCAAAGATGCAAGAGACAAACACAAAGGTAGAAAAAAGGTGAGGTGAGTACTGTGGAAATAGTCGAATATGGCATAGAGTGGGGTGATGGTAGTTTGAAGTGAGAAGTCAACTGCCAGTTAATAGACTTTTTTGCCGTATGAATATACGTTGCCCAGGGTACACCACATGGAGGTAAGTCTATCGCAACCAATATAAACTAATAGGCACGGTAACTTTCTTCCTCATTTCTAAATTTGATTGCTTTCTTTGAGCACGTGTGGTTTCTGTTTAAATTATTGTTCGCCATCTTTGATTAAAGAGTGATTACTACCGTCGTTACCCTTCAATGACAAGTTTTTTATCTATCATGGTTTGATAGCAGTTCGTTTAAGATATTGGTACCATACTGAAACTGAAAATTGGCAAAGAGATTTTTCACCTAACTTCCGGTTGAGTAAACCTGCTTGTGATCTTTTCAATGCTACTCACATTGCTATTTCAAATTGAATCCTCCTTAATAGGCCTTTGATGAAATTAAGGATCGCTCTGCACACCAGATCCCCAAGCTCTCACACCCTTGATAATAAGTGAATTTAGTTTTTTTTGTTCAGATGCTGATTAATGTAGTTTCAATTAAAGATGATCGGCAGTCTGGTTCATCGTTCCTGGAAGCTGCCGCGCAAAGATGAATTCTCGGATTTCTTTTCTGCTGTCACTCTGAGAATGACATCACCTGAAGTGATCCCGCCATAATTGTTCCTCTCACCTATTTCCTCTCTCGAACCCTTCAGAACTTTAAGTAGATGTTCCTCATCATTCTGAGTGATGTAAGCTTCAATTCGTCAACAAATCTGACAAATAAGCTTCCTCAATGATTTTTGTATATTTATGAATATCAAATGGCAGGCGTTTGATTGGAGAAAATTTACAAGCCATTATGGACCCGTTTGCCTGATCCCAGGGCAACCTAATCAGATCCACATTCAATAAAAGTGGACTTAATCACGTGATCCCAACTCTCTTCATAGAGAATAGTGACCACTGCGGTACGATTGTTGCCTATGCCATTTACTAACCTAATTGAAATAACGGAAAAATAATTAAGGCGTAACTTGTGACAAATCCAAAACAGCTACGAACCCCAGAACACTATAATAACAAATAAATGTAATAGTGGTGAATATTGCGCCAAAATCAGGCAAGATAAAGACACATCAATGTAACCCATCTTAAAATATTGGTCAATTTAAGAACAATAAATAATGACTAAAATCACCCACTTGTGTAGTGCCCAAAAATATAAATGTTGGTCACTGAAATTTTATGTTTACTGGGGCATTCCGAAAGGTTCAGCAGGGCTAGTGGTTCAGTAACGAGCTTGGACGTTATGCATTACCTTTGAGCAAATCTGTAATCAAGAGTTTCTGCAAAGTACAGCAAGAATTTTATTCATTATAGATGAATTATATAAGGAAAGTGATTGCACGCAGTGGCTAAGAGTTTAACGGGTAAATGGAATAATTAAATAGGATTAAATGTCTGGTTTTACAGACACCACCGCTACACTAGACAAGGCATGCTTGAGACTAAACTTGTATAAATCCCATTTTTCGACACACCTCATCGATACTTCTTCCATTTCGATAGTGGATGATTGGTTATTTTGAGCGACAACAGCCTTATTCTAGCTTGGCAAGTTCCGGTTAACTCACCTCAAAGGGATCGGTATCATTAAAAATACAAACATGCCTTAGCAAAATTTACCGTAATATTATTTACTATTGGGAGCGGAGACAGGGAGGGGATTGAGTAACTGACTAAGATTTGACTGAAGGGATATTCTAATTGGCAATTTAAGTTGATAAAGATTTTGGGCAGTTAAGAAATATTAATTTCATTTGGGACTTTATAACCAAGTCTAGCTCTTCCGAATAAGGGAATTTGAGTATATATCATTAAAATAAACTTAAAAGTATGTTAGAGATTTCGCTTAGAATGATAAAAGCTGGTCCAATTAAGAATCTGAGATCTAATAAAAATATTGAATATTGGGAATTGAAACTTTAATAGGCTGACACATTATAATACTGGAAACATGGCCATTCTAAATCTGGCAAGGGATACTACCAAATCTATGTTAAAATAACTAGTGCAATATATAAATATATTCAAAATATAAGAAGCAATGACATCATTATTTTCTAAAATATTATGATAAAGCGTGATTAATTTATAAGATCAGTAAACATTAACTATTTAACTTTTAAGCGCCAATATTATTGGCATAATATCAATTCCCATCACTTGCATTTGATTGGCCTTCTTCCCCTCAGGCCTGGTTCTTGATTCTGGTGACGTAACGATGAGATCGTTTACAATTTTCATTATATTTTTGAGTTTACTTTTTGTTGTTAAAGCGTGGGATCAATCAGATCTTGAAATGTTTGATCTCATGGAGGAGATAAAAGTTAATTTTTATGAAATTCTTAATGTCCCGATTGTGAGTTAACGTCTAGTTTAGTTTATTCAACTTCTTTAATAGACAGCATCGCCTGAGGTCATTAAACGTGCTTATCGAAAATTATCCTTGGAGTTGCATCCTGATAAGAATAAACATGATCCAAATGCGGGCGAAAAATTTCGACAACTCTCTGTGATTTATCAAATACTTAGGGATAAAGATAGAAGGGAACGGTAGGAATAAAATATCCTAACTGGCTTTCGTTATTCAGCTACAATGACGCATTAGAACATGGTGTTCCTGACTGGAAGACTCCTGTCTTCTATTATCGACGATTAAGAAAAATGTCCAATTACGAAATCTGCGCTTTAGTAACAATTGTTTCCATATCAATCCACTTTGCTACCTTGTGGGGATTTGCATTTGAGCGCCGTTGGACGTTGGTAAATTTTATTCGTTTCCAACTTTCCAAACTTCTATTAGAGAGATCGACTTGAGGGCCATATGAAAAGGCATAAGGCTTCAGATAAGAAAAAAATCGCCATTGACTTGGAAATTGAAGAGCAGTTGAAAATCATCAAATATCCTACTTTTATGGATATTTTGCCAATCGCCTTATTGCGCGGATTCATTAATTTGATTAAATCTATTCCGAGTGGAATTTCTCGCTTACGGGGCACAGTTCATGAAAATATGGAGAAAGTAAAGAAGCATTTGGACGAAAAACGAGGTACTTGTCTTTAATTCTGCTTAGTTTGTGCGTAATAAGCACGTATATTTTGGATACACAAAGAACATCTAGGTGTTTAGAACTACCACGTTTGTCCATGGAGTTATTACAGTATTTTCATTAGCACAAACCCTCTGAATTCCATTAGATAAGAATGGTTTGATAGCATTCCTATTGAAGGTATAGTCTTTGGCATATAGCTTATTCTATTAGAAGGTGATAATTGGTCATTTCAGAAAAGGCAAAAAGTTATCCCTTTTTGACCTAAGGAATTTGAGTTTATGCACGATTAACCTGGGGGCTTATTACGCAGGTTTTCAGTCTCTTAATGGTGTATTTACATTAATTCTAATTATTTAGAGAGCATTAGAATATAAGTGTGAGATCCCATTGCATTTTCACACTACGTTATTTTTATTGGGCATAGTAGTGTTACTTTGCCACTTTTCTGGTGATATATGCGCATTCAGATGTTCCTCTTTTGAGCATTTTTCACTAGTTCAATTTATCATCTTAACCAAGGTCTTTTGAAACCGTGGATGTTGTATTATCGTTATATTTATTTGTGAAACCCCATGATATCAAGTTTGCGCAGAAAAGCTTAAGTTTGCTCCCTTTTTACAATGAGCTTAATGCCCGCACTTCTACTGGACCTACGCTGTCGTTAATTCATCTAACATCTAGGTGTCTTATTTGTTTTTTTGTTAAATGTAGATTTACTGTTGGAAGAACTAATACTTCATGAATATACTTTTGAGAATTATCGTTTGCCGTGTTGCCTATTTCATAAATTCTTATGTGCTGTCCATGATCATGTTTTCTCGTTCAGATTTTGTCCCTTTTCCCCTTCCATGATCTGAGATGGTCGGCTGTACTGCTTTTGTACTTTCATGCTACTCGAGATATAGCGCTCTTGTCGGGAGAATTAACGAATAGGGAACTCGTTACTTGATAGGCGTTTAATAAAGCTTTCCACCACTGCAGTTAATCACTATGAGCTCCTTCGTCATCTCTTTGTAGAATTGGCTGAGGAACAGAAGGAACGTGCCAAGCGGAAGGAAGAGCAAAAGAAGAAAAAGAAGAAAGCAGAAGCGTATAGCATGCATGAGAAGAACGACGAAGAATTGGACTACTTTAACAATCCCTCTTACCAATTCACAAACCTGGTTGTAACGAGCGATGAAATTAGTGATAAAGATGTGGAGACTGATGGCACTTTGAGTGAGAAAAAGCCTTGGTCGCAAAATGAGGAGTTGGCTTTAGTTCAATTAACTAACAAATACCCTGGGGGATTTCCCAATCGATGGTCAAAAATTGCTCAAATTCTTGGAAGATCGGTGTCTGATGTTACCGCAAAAGCTTCTGAAATTGCCAATGAACTGAGCTCCCGCAATCTCATCAATCGTAAGTTCTGTTCTAAGTTGGGTTTTCTATCAAGGTTGCTTATCAGGCGAAGGGGGGGGGGGGGTTGGTAGGATCGTAGGAGGGTAGGTTTAGTAGTTTATGCTTACTCGCTCAGTGATGGGGATTTCGCCTATATTATTGCTTGTTCTTCATTTGGTTGTCGTTTGCTGGAGCTAAATTTCACTTTAGCACCTGTTTTTCCCTTAGAATTCATTTAATTAACTTTATTTGAGTTAACTAAATAGGCGCCGCATAGTGCCTGACCAAATGATATGAAATGGGCATTTATTTTGGGGGGGGGGGAGAGAATAGCGATTGGGAGGCGGAAGTTCTGCTGCTCCAGATTTCTCTTGAATTGCAAAATGGATCAATCTATTTCGCATTGAGGTACTTGAGCTCATTAAGTTTGGTTGAAGATCGGTTAAAACTTTATCGCATTGGATGTCGATTTTGTTTAAGAAGAAGGAGCTTTGTCCATATGGATATAGTCAACACTTTTTATCATTTGCTATAGACGGAATATTTTCAGACTGGGTGTATGCTTACTGTTTGATGAAATTGTTTTTTTATCCCAAGAGAAAAAGTTTTTAAATACAGAATTTGTGGCTATTCAGGAGGTTTTCCAAGGCTATTCAAAGTGAAAAATGGCAGTAATTAAATTCTCTAACGTTTTCCACAACGCTGAAATCAGATGTTTCAAAAGTCTCTTCCGTTAGTGGACATCTTGCCGTTGTTTACGATGTTAACAGTCTATTTCATTTGTTTTCTCTGTTTCTTTACGTGTTCTATGAAATGTGCATCTACGTCCGTACTCATGGATTTCGATAAACTGGGTTACTGGGAGACTTCACAGATCGTAGTTTTTGGTCGGAACTATTCAACAACTTCAACACTCCAACTTCCTTAAACTTTCGATTGAGTTTGATGGAGGATGTTTGATACTACAGGAGTTGTTAATTTTCTTCGACATATTAAGATCGGAACAATTCGGTTTTCTTATTTTCATTTCTGAATTTCAAGTGGAGCCCGTTAAAACTATTTAAGTAAATGATCAGAAAAGAAGATATCGAATCTCAATCTTAATTCAGCCCTTTTTATTTTTGACCCCATTCTTACGCAACCGGTAAAAAAATGCCTGCATGTATGCCTTAATTCGCACCGGTCGTGGCGCAGTCAAATCGTTCAGACAAAAAGGAACTGTCTTCAACTTGCCTACGCTGCCTAGTTTGCTTTTCTCTTAGCAGTGTTCTTCCACATACAGTTGGATTTTACTGAACCTCTCATTGGCCACTCATATCTTGTGATTGATATTCGATATTATTCCATCACAACTACCGTGTTGATCTCCAGCCTTCGCCATATATTTACAGCTCATGAAATATTAGGGACGATTGTAATCGCCAGTGGCACTTATATCTCTTTGGCCCTTCTTCAAGATTTGTCGGGGTCACAATATCACTACTACTCTTCGTCATATCATCATCAGTCAAATTATCAAGCAGAGCGATTTGTTGACACCATGAAGCGTGAAAAGTAGAAGGGAGTGATGGCTATTGTTACAGAATGCGCAAGTCGTGGTTGGGGTGTGGAAGTAAAGCAAGTACGTTAAGGTAGTTCCCGGGCTAGTCCAGCTCAAGACGCACATATTAGGTGATTAAATATTAAATTACGCGTTAGGTATTCGAGAGGTTGCAGTAATCGATTCATATCCTTTCTTTCTCTAGCCACCATGGACGTTAGCTATGCAGAACAGACAAGTGAAGAGGAGTCGGAAGAGGAAGATGACTACTATCTCTCCAAGCGCAAAGCTAAGCGAGCTGGTAAAGTAGGACCAGCAAAGAAAAGGGGTAATTCAGTGGTGCAAGAGGAGGTAGCGGATAGTGTCGGCGAGGCCACAGTGGAGATGGATATTGCAGATGAGAACGAGTATGAGGATGTTCACGTTAGCCGACGAAAACAAAAGACAAAAGCAAAAATAATGGTGGAGGCTGAAAAGAGGGATCCGGTTCCTGGTGCTGTCGGATGGACACAGAAAGAACAGAATCAACTAGAGACGGCAATGAACTCCTTCCCCAAGGGAACGCCCAAACGGTGGCAACTGATTGCTGAATGTGTCCCTTCGAAGACTCCTGTAAGCTTTGGCTACTTCCTTACTTTTAATAGGGCATCATCTAGCTCAAGAAAACGAGGGGAACTTTTAAAATTACTGCTTGTTTCTCCACTTTGAACTATTGAAATCTATTAGCCAGTTATGTTATCAACGAATAACGGTTTGGCCTAGATTGCCCAGTACATCTATTGTTGTTTAGGTCCACTGCTTTGAAGATTTCTAGAAAGTATGACCGTTTATATAGAGAGAGACTGAAAGTAAAGGCGATTTACTAGATGCCTGTTTAATATCTCAATAAGGTAAATCCTTTCCAAGGTGTGCATAGGGATGAAGTTCAGTCGAGTAATTAAGGAATGAAAGGCAGATCGAGTGCTCTTGAGTCCTGAATTCTGAATATGGAAATGTTGCATCCACTCCTCGCGGGATTCTAGACTTAATTTCATGTGATTTCAACTCGGTTGGGTGTTTTGCATTTAGAATCCGAGTGAGATCCCCCTAGTTTATCTTTTTCTTTTCTTTCAGAGCGAGGTATTTGATCGAGTGAAGTTCCTCGCTGAACACAACAAAAGGAAATCTCAAAATGAACAGTGATGATCTTTATTATATGTTTTCTTATCCAGTCTGCTGGTAATTTGTGATCCAGATATACGAGTTTGTTACCAAATAATTTGCCTGTTTATTTCTTTTTGGGTTGGACAATAGGAAATATGCTCATAGATGTAACTATCGATTTTACAGTAATTGTCGAATTTTTTCAGTTTATCTATGTTTAATTAAGCCAATTCAATTAATAGTTAGGTATCTACTTTTATACCAATGAAATAAATCGATATTACGTTTGTAAGGCTGAGAGAGGCAGGAAATTGGTCATTTTCAATGCTTCTAAAGATGTCTCCTAAATCGAATTAGTAAACTTATCTCTACATGTTTAGAGCGTGGCTTTACTATCGAGTGAAAAGCTCCATTAAGGATTGCATATAAATCTCTTATTGCATTTAATTGGTGCTGTAAGAAGGCTTGAGTCCGGAAATGAACTAGATCTAAACTTCATAAAGGTAGGTTTTTGAGCAATATAGGGAGGGTTAAAGTCATGGGCTTGCAAGTGGAAATTTGGTCTCATTTGGTGGGTTTAACTATTAACAGGTGGCACGTTAAGTGAGAAAATAAATAATACCTTACCGTACCAGAAACGTACAGAGACATCGTGGTGAACAGTTTTGCTAACTCAGTAGAGGAATTAAGTTGACACCTTAACCTCGTCGAGACTCAGAGCACTGCAAGCTTACTGAAACGGATGATAGCCCCTATTTATTGTAGTTTTTACAGATTGGTCTTACTGCCAAGTTTGATCAATACAATGCTAAATGGTAAGGAATTATGTTCCTGTCACGGGGTGTGGGATAGACTTACCTCCTCGTGGTACACCCTGGGCAACATATAACAATACGGCAAAAAAAAGTCTATTAACCGGCAGTTGACTTCTCACTTCAAACTACCATCACCCCCACTGTATGCCATATTCGACCCCTACACAGTACTCATCTTACCCTTTCTGAGCCTTGGTGTCTGTATGTTTCTTTTACATTTATGAATCACTCTTCTATGCCCCCTTTCGAATTTTTCTCACTTTGATGTTC